ACACACACTCTCTCACACACACACACACACACATATACACACACACTCACACACACACACACACACACACACTCACTCACTCACTAGTGAGTGCATCTTATAGGCTTTCACTGTTTTTCTATCAGGTTAATGTTGTTTCCTATGTCCTAACCTGACCTCTGACCCCTAAACCAGCTCTCAGAAACCTGTGCAAAACCCGAGATTTAAATAGAAACATGATTTATGAGCCCTAGTGACTCAGTCTGTGCTCAACAAGTTTCACTGTTAGTGAGGACATTTTTGAAAAGTCAAACCTTTACATGATTACAGGAATTGTTATATAGAAAGTTACAGGATGTGTGTGAGTGTTTGTGTGTGTGAGAGAGTGTGTGAGTGAGTGAGTGTGTGTGTGTGAGTGAGTGAGTGAGTGTGTGTGAGTGAGTGAGTGAGTGAGTGTGTGTGTGAGAGTGAGTGAGTGAGTGTGTGTGAGTGAGTGAGTGTGTGTGTGTGTGTGTGTGAGTGTGTGTGTGTGTGAGTGTGAGTGTGTGGGTGTGTGTGTGTGGGTGTGGGTGGATGTGTGTGTGTGTGAGAGAGTGAGTGAGTGTGTGTGTGTGTGTGAGTGTTTGTGTGTGTGAGTGTGAGTGTGTGGGTGTGTGTGTGTGGGTGTGGGTGGATGTGTGTGTGTGTGAGAGAGTGAGTGTGTGTGGTGAGGTCTCATACTCACAGACACAGCGTACAGGTTGTACTTCTTCAGGTTGGGTTTGGGTCCGATGACGTACTGTGACAGGTCCAGATTATCCAGCGGGAAATCCACCAGCGTCTGCAGCTTCTCCCGCCACCGGCCATCGTATTTAAACCTTACAAACACACAAACACCTTTCACACACTGCTTTACGGGACATCAGAGCCCTGCGCTGGAGCGCTGCAGACGTGACTCACCGTTTCAAGTGTACGAGTAAAATGGGCGGAACTTTCCAGATCTGCATCTTCTTGATGGCGTCTCGGTGCGTCTTACAGTGGCGGCAGTAGAAGCGGTTGCTGTCGGTCAAACGCTCCTCTTTAGAGAACAGCTTCAGACAGTCCTGTACAAACACACAGCGCAGATTAAAGCCCCTTCACACCACAGACCATCACTATCACTGTAAAGTCTTAATAATCTAACTGTGACTCCACACTAGGATTGGAACACTTCGAAAATATTGTTATTAAACAGAAAGCTCTGTAGTTGGTGAAACACTATTTTCTTTAAAATTGTAGACATAAAAGAGAGATTTGAGACTGGCCTAAAATTAGTCAACTCTGTCGGATCTAAATTTGTTTTTTTTAAGAAGTGGATGTACAATGGCGTGCTTCGTGTCATCTGGAACCATTGCCATTTCAAGGCAGCTGTTCAGGGTTCCCTAACCCTATCCCAATCTTAAGAACAGTAGGCCCAATCACCTCAAAAATGTGATAAAAAAAATCGAGGAGGAAGAATGTCATAGGAGGATCCAGAGGGTTTAGGCTGGCTTACAATATCTTGTAGAGCAGGCAGAGTTACAGGCTCAAACTGACTTAAGATGCTGGTAAAGAGTGGAGGGACAGCAGGATCTTGACAAGCAGAGGGAATATCTAGCCTAATATCCCTTAACTTGTCCACAAAAAAATTAAGGCCGGGAAAGCGAACGGAGGTGACTAATACAAACGCCACCTCGGCGCAGACGGGGTGAGGTTGATCCAGCGGATCCCCAGCAATCGGTATATTCCACGCATACTGTGGTTATAACGCGCGCCCCGCTATGAAGCGGCCGTGCCCTGCCATGTAGGTGCGAAGGCCAGTGCGAGGTTGAAAATCCGATTCAGACAGGAGGAGCTTGAACTTGACCGCAAAACCTCCATGCCTTCCCCGTCTTTTGCGGCGGAGGACCAGGCAGCCGGCGCAGATAGTCAGGTATAGTCACCAGAGGAGGAGCAAACTGTGCACCACACTTAGCATCACGGAATAGCTCTTCAGTGATGTCTTTAATGCCAAGCACTTTTAGGTTAAAAATGACTAAACATTTAGTAAAATGGCTAATATAAAATACATTAAAACAAACAGACGTGTAAGCACAACAGGCAGCGGACGGCAGGCTATAAACACCGGCGCCATCTTGGTAATGTAACAGTAACCATGGACGTCGTAAAAGGTAAGCAGAGGTACTGGTCTGCTTATCTCTAATGATTGGAAATGTAATCCTTTACCATCTCGGAGTATCAACAGCTCCTTTGAATCACATTCAGCCACTATTACCCACCCTCTTAAAATCTATTTTATAGTTGTTTATCGACCCCCAGGACCACTAGGTAACTTCGTGGAAGAATTAGATGTGCTGCTCTCAACCTTTCCTGAGGATGGTACTCCTCTAGTTATGCTTGGAGACTTCAACATCCGCCGAGATAATGCAGACCTCCACACTCTGCTTGCTTCTTTTGATCTCAAGAGTGTTAACTACGGCTACTCACAAATCAGGCAACCAGCTGGACCTTATTTACACACGACACTGCTCCACTGATCATGTGCT